TGTGTGAAGCGGGAGGAGAGGGATAAAAAGATCCGAAAATTATTTGATAATCATTGAAAATGATAACAAATCGGTGTCCTGAATAACACTCGAAAAAATTCTGGACAAAGGATGAAAAATTTGGACTGTCCCGAAAAAATCGGAACGTCTAGTCAGCTGTATGTGTCGAGAAGGGAGGAGATTACTCCGTAATAATGTACTTACGATATGTCCTGACGATCGCACGTCGTTGTTTTTGGTACTCTAATACTTATTTCCGAAGGAGACTCACAAGACACAAGCGAAAGACGTACGGAATACGGAGTGTTGTGTCCATGGCAGTTGCTTGGCATGAAAAGATCGCAGACGCGCGCGCTGTCAATCACGTACACCAAAAGTTCATTAGCGCGCCGAAAGTGCCAAAAGTGCATGAATGTGAGCGCGCCAGTGATGCGTCTACAACGACGCGATCTGTACGGCGCACCGCAGCGGACTCCTTAATCACTTGCTACTAACCATTCTAGACCAATCGCGCTCGTTTCGCACTATGAGGTTGTCATCGTGGTTATTCAATCTAGACGTTGGTAATGAATCGCGCGCAATGCTCGATTCTTTTCGCGCCAAGCAGTAGTCATGGGGACACATCGATCCACATCGCTCCGCGTTTCTCGCGTCTTTTACCCGTCGAAAGTGAGTCTCGCGCGTTAATAAGTCTCGGGAATGTCGAGAATAGCGATGTACGATCGCCGGTGCGTATCGTAAAGACATCATTTGTAAATAATCTTCTCGTTTCTCCTCGCGGCATGTGTAAGGTGACCAGATTTCCAGCCCTGAATTTGGGACACTTCGGTTGCTTTCCAACAAGAGACACAAATCGACACAAACATCATTCTATCTTTGTTCCACATTTAGTGAGTAACAAAGATAGGATGATACTTGTGTCGACTTGTGTCTCTTGTTGGAAAGCAACCTTTATAAATGTGTGAAGCAGGGGGGAGGGGGAGTAAAAAGATCCGAAAATTATTTGACAATCATTGAAAATGATGACAAATCGGTGTCCCGAATAGCACTCGAAAAAATTCGGGACAAAGGATGAAAAATCGGTCCCGAAAAAATCGGGACGTCTGGTCACCTTACGTAATATATAATGAACGATAATGTGAAAAAGCTGCATAGCCGGCACGCGATTTGGTGCGTCAAGAGTGTGCCTGGATGACCTTCCCGCGCGTCGCGCCGGTAGTAGCGCGACACAACACAGATGTGTGTGTGTGTGTGTGTGTGTGTGTCCCGCTCGTAGGCATTGCAATCTCCGACGCGGAGAAGAATACATCGAGACAAGTCACGCGGTATTCGTCAAGTTTCCAAACAATCGACGTGATCGTGAGGTTAATCGTGATCGCGAATCGGGCGCGCGTGTATATCATCGTGGGATCGTCGTGAGCCACGGGAGCGAAACGTAACCTCAAAAGTAACTACTGCATTTCATGTCGTTAGGTTATGGATTAGGTTAGGTTATGTTTACTCAAGTACAACTTGAGAATACGATCGGTCGCTGCGTATTTAAGATCGAACAAGCACGCTTCAGCATTCATCATAATTGTAATCGAGAAAACTATTCTCCTCATTTCAGATCGGGGAGAGCTCACAGACGACCTGCATAGGAGATGCAATTTCGGCGGCGGCGGCGGCAACAGTTCTACGAGAGGTGTTGTCCCGGAGACGGATGCAGATGCGGCACCGGAGGATCCGGTTCGGGCCGGGCGCGGTCGACCCGAAGGTACGCGCGCGTCCACTTCTCTATTTAATTATACTTCACTGTTTAACCCTTTGCGGGGTCCAAAGCTGAGATATGACAGTCAGGATGACTCGAATTATGACCGCAAAGGTCTAATCCTGCTCGTATCTCTACGCACACTCGCTCGTTAAACCGAGTTCCCGAATTTGACCGGCGGAATTGTATTTTTCGTTTCAGACCTGGGAGTGTGTGACGGAACGTGCCCAGTCCTGACTCCTGCAGATTGTTCAGTGAGTGACAAACAAGAATGAATGAAGGAATTTATGGTGACAGGTCTTTTGATAGAATCTCGTTGGAATCAATTACTTTTCTAGTAGATAGTTGCACGTGTGTTTGTGTATGTCCTTACATAAAACTCCCCGTTCGAAATGATTAAAGATCGAGCAATTATTAGATTGAAAATCGCTTTTCAAACATCTTTACTTCGCGATCTTTTGCGAAGCGAGTCGCTAATGTGTTTTGGAAACTACGGAATTCACCGCATCGCGAACGTGTTTCAGAAACAATGATATTTACCATGCCGCGCGGGTTTGTTTCGCAAAAGAACGGAATTTACCGTGCCGCGAGTGTATTTCGCAAAGCGAGAGAACTGATCATACCGCGAGTGTGTTTACTCTACCGCGAACCAGTCCCCGAGAAGTGTTGAAATTAGCTTCACCGCGAGAAATATCCGCTAAATAAATTCTCTGATTTTGTCTTTCATTCTTCCGTCTTTTCTTCCTGTTTTGTTTCCTATCGAGCTGAACCGATAATTCCGTTCCAAAATAAACAAAATGGTGTTTTATTGATGTCGTCGAGACATTTGTAAACACCGTTGAAATACTAATCGCGAGAATGTCCTCCAAACAAAATATTACGCCGCGGCGTAATAAATGCGGTCAACATGGACCGATGCGAGACTACATCGGCGGTTGGAGAGAGGCTGGACAACACGGAGTTTTGGCCACGAAAGGTTGCAGTTTGGGACACAGATTCATCTTGGTGAACTCGTTTGGACGTCGAGGGACCTCATCGGAATTGGTGAGTGTTAAATATCAACATTCACACAGAGTGACATAATGTAGTGCATGCCTAAACTGCAATTGATTTCCAATGAGAAAGAGCAAGGATAATACTCACGCATTTATGAGTCTGAAAGAGTAAAATTTTGTGATGTCAGTCTTGATTGCTTGCAATTTGGAAACTATCGCGATAACCTCGTTATTTTTGAATACAACCAACGTTAACCTCGATATTTTTAGATAAAGATACGCGAATATAATGAAATTCCGGAATGCTTTATTAAGATACCTCGTGATAATTTTGGAATATCCCGTATATATCTATCCTTGCTCTTTATAGTTTCTTTTTCTCTCCGTTGTGCTGCTGCGCACGCGAATGTCGCGCCAAGCAAAGCAGCAAGATGAATATTTCAAGTCGGAGTCGGGCCTGCGCGCAAACATAGGGACAAGAAAGTAGAAAAATACGCGAGAATTATTTTCATCCGGTTCGGCCTGGACATTATTGTAAATGGGCCCACTTTTCTAATTATCAACCTCGCCGTGGTCGGCAAGGACGCATAACAGGATGTGTATTTCTCCGGGCGCTCCGCGAAACCCGCCGTGTATAATCCGATCACATCCCGCCTCCTGCGTCCCCGCCTGTCGCGCGTGTGTCCGCGTGTTCACAGGTAAAATTTAAAGAGGTTGAACGCGCCGCGCGGAATTCGGCGAAAATATTTTGAATACAGCCGCTGGTCAGGTGGCAGGTACGCGGCCATAAATCAAAAGAGAACAAATAGGGATTAACGTGTGTGCGTCTGGCTCTCCCTGACGTTAACCCCTTCACCCGGGCAGGTTTGAAAAAAACTGAAGAAAAATAATTTTCGAGTGTCCCAATGAGGTGAACGATGTCTCCATGCAGTTGTACTGTTTGCGCGCGCGTATTCCCTCGGCGCTCCGAAATTTGATAGAATATTCCGCGTTCCCGGGACGGAAAATAATTTATTTTGCCGACTTATTCTCCGCATGTGACGGCCGGGTTCCTCGCGCCCTTTCCGTCGGCGATCGATTTATAACGCAAATCGGAATTATTCAGACCGCTGCGAGGACGTAGCTTCGCGAAAAGAAACTAGTCGGTAACTTCATTACTAAAAAGTGAGGCGCATACGAGACACGTCCCCCCTCCTCCCCCGGTTTGACGCTGATACCTTATTTATATGCCGTTACATTAGCTGCAGCCTTCCGATTACGTATTTACACGGCCGACTCCCCACCCTCCCACCTCCAACTACATTTTTAACACTCGGCTGCGCGAGCTTCCGCATAAATTCATAACGTTAATCGATGTTTAGAGATCCATATTTTTGCGGGTTGTCCGTTCATCGGTTCGCTCCACGGGGAGGGTCGCGCTGAGACGCTCGTGCAATTTTCAAGCCACGCCGCGCGCGTCTACGCGCACGGTCGTAATCCGCGGGCTTAAGCGGGATGAAGCGCGGCGAAGCGCACCAAGAGAGCGATCCCCGACCACGAAGATGGAGAGAGAGAAAGAGAAAGAGCAACGACGCAGCCGAGGCATTATCCCTCGTTACTGCGCTCTTCGGTCTCGTACATTCCCGACGCATTTAATTCGCGACGCGCGCGATCCTCGTTAATAAGTTGGTCGTCATTCCGGGCGAATCGAACGAGCGATACGCAGGCTGCTGCAGAGCTCCTTCCGCTTTCCGACCCTGTTCCTGGGGGAGAGGGAGTATCGCGACCCATCGTGTTTCCTTCGCGCGTTCCCTTTCTTCCTACGCTCGCACACTGCCCCCTCTCCCATCTCTCGCGTTAATAATACCGTGTTTGCAGTCGGCAAAATTACGCGCTTGGGAATATAAAAAAAAAATGCCGAGTACCACGGCCGAGACACTTTGCATACCGGCGAGAATTCGAACTCGTTTCCAACGTTATATTACGTCCATAAAGCACGGAGTGCATTATGTGCACGCACGACGGGAGAAATGCATGCAACTCGATGCCGGGCTAAAGAGACCCGAGTATAATGGTCGCCATAAACAATGACTTCGGTACGTCCACCGCTACGTTGGTAGCGACGATTTGGTTAAGGGAGTGCATTTCCGGCGTGCGCCGACATAGCGCGATGTCCGAGATTGGAGCCGACCAAGGGCTCGCTTATCGATCACTGCAAGGGCTCCTTATCGATCCGCCTCTCTCCGAGTACGCGTTTGTTTTTCCTCGTAACAATCTTGGCCCGTGACCCCCGCGCCGCCGGCTTGCAATTTTCGAGAAACGCCTTTTGAATGTTTTGCCGAATGTCCGAGCGGCGCCGAGCTTAATCTCCCGACGCGATAGGCAAAATGACACTTAATTCTCCGCCGAGATACCGGGGCCTGATCGACGGGGCTTTTGCCGGCTTTCTTGTAGGAAATTCCTTTAAACACCAATCCCTTAATGACCGAGATTATTTAGATAGTAAAATCGAGTGTCATTATGGAATATGGCGATGAGTAAGCCCTTCCTGTGAGCCTTTCCTCGGGGAATTTCCAAATCTCGGGTGAAATATCAACGAATCAGAAAATTCCGTTTGAAATTAACAAAATTCTGTTTAGGTTAACCAGAGATCTTGTCAACGCGAACAGAATTCCAATAACTTCAACTGGAATTTCTGGTTCGTTCATATTTCAGCAAAAATTTGCTTAATCCGACGAAACTTCTTTTCGCATGTACGGCATCGACAGGGGCTCTTGCGACATCGGCGCAGCCAGAAATAGAGACACGGTGACGTCGCTGCGTCTAAATTTCATTCATTATCTCGCCAGGGTCGCGGCGTTCTCACGAAAACGTGTTTGTTTTACTTCTAATTTTCTGTAAATAACGATTTGCGTTTCGCAACGCGCCGCAAGTGATACACACGCGAGCACCCCGCTACGCCGCCGCAGCTGGGCCTCCGGAAGAAAATATTTACGTTCTCGTAATCGCGATGTCGCCACGACGAGCGCGATAACGACGTCCGACGGTGCGCGTCCATGCGCGCCGGGCCACACAGCTTCGAAATGGAATCCGTCGTTGCTCGATAAAGCCGACTAATTTACGATGGCGACGCGACGACGATGGCGATCGCGGTGCCGTACGCGCTCCGGTATCACAACCGGGCGTTTCTCTTTCGTAATCTGTTACGAGAAATATTTAAACGGCACAGCTGCAGCCCAGGAATCTCGGATTTCTTCCATTTCCCGGATGAAATCAGAAGCGTATCAGGCGCGCAGGCCCACTCGATCTTCGCATAAACTCGAGTCGAAATTTAGCAGTCTACCGTGAGACCCGCGAGTGCTAATTTGGGTCTCTAATCGTGTACTTTAGCCAGCGAGCCATTTCCATCTCGAATCTGCCAATGGTTCTTTTCGCTTCTCTGGTTGTTATTTGCATTAAATTCAAATTAGAATCTCTAATGATGCTTCTGGGTACGCAACTGCTATCTTCTAATGCTATTGAAATCCTCAACGACAAGAGATAATAATAAAGAGATTATGAAAAAGAATTCATTAATTTATTGTCTTCGAGCATCAATATGGATGAGACAACAGGCAGTAATCATTTATAGCGTCAAAGAAGGACCTGTTACATACCGATATTTTACATTGGTTCTTGAAGTTTGACGATATTTGCTGGATTAACGTAGAACAAAAATTTCGACTCGGGCAGGCAGATATATTTTAGCGAGAGATTCTGACACCAAAAAACTGGTGGTTGATTGATACATTGATGTTGTGCTTGATATTTTATATTGTGCAATTTTTATGATATATATATATATATTTTATGATACATTTTTTTATATATGCATTTTTATGATATGTCATGTAACATGATTTTGATATGCAATTTTTATGGTATGCTATGACACACGATTTTGACATGCAATTATGATTATAATGATATTTAATTCTTATAATATATATTACATATGTGATTATGAAATATGAAATTCTGTACGGAGAGAGAATATCGTAATAAAAATTACAATACAATTTTAGTACTCCGGGAAAAGACTGGCACTATGATGAAAATTATAATAAGACATAGTAAAAATGACAATAAACATAGTAAAAATGACAATAAACATAGTAAAAATTATCACAAAAAGTGTAAAAATTATCATGTTTATGGTCATTTTTACTTTGTTTTATTATAATTTTATTTTATTATTAAGTTTTATCATAATAATATCAGTCCATTCCCGGACTACGAAAATCATATTATAATTTTTACAATATTCTCTCCGTGTAATTATTACGAGACACAATTTTATATTACCAAATGCATCTCGCTCGATGAGTATCCGCATAAAAATCACAAGAGAATGACCAGTTCTTATTATCTCCGTGTGAGAATATCCGAACCGCGCGCGTCAGCAGTGGGCGGGGGCAGGGAATGGAGGAGTAGACTGTGTAAAATGATAAATTTGATATTCGTGAAAAAACGAAGGGCGGATCTCTCTCATTAGTGGGTGCCGCGCGCGCGCGCGCGCGCGAAGGGGCCACGTCACTGCGTTACGAGGTATACGTGCCACAAGCGCACGCTGGTTTTTCCAGCAGCAAGCTCGCGCGCGCAATCGGCCGTCCGTGCGGTTTATTTTTCCGTGTGGTTTTACTTCGTGCCACTTCGCCGCGCCGGGCGATAATCTTCCCGGATCAACCGCGAGTGCGAGCCCGTGCACCGCGCGCGGCTAGCTACTTGCATCCGCACGATTATACTTGGCGGCCGCGGCATCTGGCGCGCGGAACAACATCCATCACTTCTAGCTTTCTGGCGCTTTCGAAGCAATTAATCACGCGGCCATTGTTCGCGCCGCTCACCCCCGAGTCGGCGTCGCGGGCGCGCGCGTGGGACTGCGATAACACGTTACCGCGATCCAAGGCTACGTCGTCGAGCCGCGCGGGGGTGGATAAGCCGAGCCGACCTCTTTCCTCCCCCGCTCGTGTGTAAATATGTGTCGATAGTATCGCCAAGCAGTTCACTTTGCGCGATCGATCGGATTCC